CATACAAGAAAAGATCACTCTTACAGATACACACACAAAAAAATCACTTTTCCACACAAGTAAAGATAACTCTTACATTACCTTCAGTGTATTAATTAAAGCTAAATTATTCAACGTAATATCGTTGTAGTAGTTTTTGATGTCACTGAATGCTTTCTCATGATTCCTCATCAGTGTGTTGATCAGCCCATTCTTTCTTTCTTCAATCTCATGAATTTCTGTCTTGCGACGAAGGTCCAGTTCATCTCTCAATGCTCGCATCTTCTTGTCGTACTTCATCTCGATTTCTTTGGTCTGTCTTTCAAATGAGCTCCGGAGACTTGTCATTTCTTCATCATTTTTCTGCAACAAGAAAGAGAAAACATCATTTTTTTAATGCACTGTACTTCTCACATAAGAAATAGCTGCAAATGTAAAAATCAAATTTACAGCGGTGGCGTTCAGTTCATGAGTGCACTTTTTATGGGTATCCCTGGGGATCATCACTGGAGCTACAGAGTTTGTGCTCTGTATGACAGCCTGGGCTGGCAGCTGGCTGTTCTGTGGAGAGAGACTGAGCAATATGGGATAAAACCTGTGCAATGAAGCAGACCCTCTCCCTTTTAACATTTATCATCATTATCACGCAATATATGCAGTCTTCTTTTTCTTCTCAAGGACGGTTTCGCACAGATGCACAAATTCCATCGCACCTGCATAAATCTTGAAAACAAATTCAAAACTCCTGGTTTACATCCTGGTACAGATAATTACACATAAGAGAAGAAAAACTAACCATCTTTTAAATGAAAATGACACGGCTATGAACAACCACAATTATCCGCTGTTATTGTTGACAGGAAGTCTCTGAGTTGGAGTCTCTGAAAGGTTGGGGCTAACACACATCAGTTTCATATTCTTGCCAGGTCACGTAGGCATGCAAGGATATGAGCAAGATGACAGGCTTCTAGCTCAAGCTACTGTGAAGGGCAGACAAGCAATGGACCATGCTGATATACTGAACGCTCTGAGAGAAGTAAGACATTTGCGGGTGCTTTATTAATATCCTACCCCAAACAGAAGAAATCCACAGGTCACAGGACAATATAATATTTCAGGGTGTGGTAGATAGGCTGCATGCATTCATGGGGCCTAGACTGCACTCTCTCGTGGGACATAGGTTGGCTGAGGTTAGGGCCAGTTCTAGATGTTTTGAGGTCGTTAAAAGCATCAGAAAGCCGGGAAACCCAGTCTTACCACCTCTAAAATGTTGGACTGTCCATGACGTCACCTGGGCGTAGGATATTAATAAAGCACCCATCTGTGAGAACCAAGTGATGAATGTGCAACCATGACCACACTGCAAGAACAGCATGTTAAAAGGGGTGTGGTCAAAGGCACTGTGTAGAAAGTGAAGCCACAGTAGAATAAGATGCCAGCTCAGAACAGGAGTCGTTAGCCACTGCAAGCTGCAGGATTTATTGAGGATACCTGAGCTAAGGTGCTGCGTAGTCTCAAGGCACGGTGTCCACCGCGAGTGCAAGAGGTTCCAGGTTTAATCTCCGGCAAGGACTGGGATTTTTTTATGTGGACTTGGACTTCTAGTAATTCCTCCAGGTCTCTGGGTAGTGAGATCGGATGCCCATGTGTATTTTTGCACACGTAAAAAAATCCCTTGGCAGTTGGAAATCGAAAAGAGTAGCCTAAGAGCGCTGCCTGGGCAAAAATGTGGAGTTTCAAATCTACCCAAAGTATTTCAGGATCCTCGCCGGTGCTACATAGTTCATGCACTGTGCTGAGCTTTTTCGGACTCAGACTTGAGTTAGAAGAAGAACGGTGCACTTATGGATTACTACCCGTGTGCCATGATGTTGATCTGTTGTTCAAAACCTCAAACCTGAGCGTTTATAGACTTAATGGTTCGATGTGCAGTGAGAATAATCCGCTCACTGACTAACTAATGTCATCTTCTTCTTGTTATTCTTCTTCTTTTCTCTAGGTCCCTGTTCCACCTTTCAGCATCAGGTTTTAAAGAGACATCTGGTACAAGCCTTGGTGTGTGCTACATAATTGCTGTGAGAGATCTCTGCTTGCAGACAAGTGATTCTGTATGTTCTTGCTTGTAATTTCATTATTTCCCATTTGATATATGCTGATAAATTATTCTTAGTCTTAGTCGAGGTTTCACATTCACTGCATTCGGGTCACCTGATACATGCTCCGTTCCTGTGCCAGTGAAAATCAAATGAAATGTTCCTCACTGTCCCATTTAAAAAACTGAAAAACAAACAATTAGTCTCCGCACAATCCATAGACATGCGCATGCAGTAAATGCATATGGCAGCCGCTAAAGGTGCCCAAGCCAACAGTCGGCACCAGAAATGCAGTTTGTCGTTGATGGAAGTAGTTGGCTACACACATGTATAATTATTACATTAGGTATTTCTCCAGCTCACATGTAAACCGGCTACTAGCCATACTGAATACAATGACACAGCTGCTGCACAAATGAAAGGCATTCCACATGGAAAACACAGCACTCCATATCTAATGTAGAACTTTTTTGACATTCCTGTATTTGTTTTAACTGTGCATTGCCATTTGACGTATAAACTCTTGCACAATTTAATAAGGTGTTCGTTTACTCCGTAATCCTGTAGTACCTTCCACAATTTATTCCTATTAAATCGATTGAAAGTTTTCTCTTGGTCTATGAATGCCAAACGTAATTCTTTATCAAATTCTATCGCTGTTTCCGCTAATTGTCTAAGTGTGAATATTGCTTCAGTGCAACCTCTATTATTCCGAAATCTTATTTGTCCTTCACTAAGCAGAAGTTCAATGATAGGGCAGAGCCTTATTTTCAAGGATCTTACCAAATATTTTCCAGCTGTGGTTCAATAATGAAGCTTCTCTATACTTCTCACACCAAATATTTTCCAGCTGTGGTTCAATAATGAAGCTTCTCTATACTTCTCACACCGAATATTTTCCAGCTGTGGTTCAATAATGAAGCTTCTCTATACTTCTCCCAGTCTCTCCTGCTGCCTTTCTTCTTCCAGATGGGTACTATTATTGAGTTTCTCCAGTCCTCCAGTGTTTCTCGTGTTGTCCAGACTAGTCTGAACAGTCTGTGCCTCCATTATACGCCTACCTCTTCTGTTGCTTTGAGTGGTTCAGCAGGTATGTCACCAGGGCCTGGTATTTTGTTGGAAGGTGCCTCTTTTACAGCTTTTCTTGTTTCTGTGAGTGTTTTGCTTGGTTTAAAATGTTCATTTGTGTAGTAGCTGTTGTTTTCTTGTGCTGTTGATTGTTCTTCTGACTGTAAGTAAAGGTTCTTAACAACATACAGAAAACATAGTTTAAAAATAAAGACAAGAAAACACACACAAATAAATATAACAGCGAGAGGATATACAAAATAATTGAGACATAAAAAAAATACAACACATATACCTTTATCAGGTTCTTCACTACATTTTCATGTGCTAATTCCTGCTCTTTGAGCTCAACCTTCAGTGACCTCTTATCCTTTCTTAACTCCATTTCTGAAGAACTATTGTTGTCTTGTGCCAGCTTCATAGCAACGGCACCTTCTGCCTTAAGCTCCGAAATGTTGTTTTGATGTTCATACAGGAGGTGCTTGACCTTTTGCTTGTAAACCTTTGGGGAAATAACAAATAAAAAAAACAGCAGGTGTAATGAGATCAAACACAGAGGTTCTGAAGAGACTAGTTATAAAAGTAAGAGTTGCTGAAGGAAATTAAAAAGTGATGAGTTGAGTTGATTTAAAAACTGACATCACAGCACTTCACTCGGGCCACTTCCATAAGCGCTCCATCTTCATCTTCAGCAGCCAGTGCAGAGTTCCAATACCAATGGTGTCAGTAGCATTTTAATTATACGTCCGTCTTGCCTTTCCTCTGAACATCGAGTATCAGCCAAATCCTATCCTCACTCCCTGCTGCACCACTCTCACCAGACTGTGGTGATCCATTTGCTCCTCTGAACTGTACACATTCTAACACAAAGCCCTAACTATGTCTGTCTTATCATGAATCAATACTCCATCAAGTTCTTCAGAGCCAGCCAGTCCATCCATCTGTTCATTTCCCAACACACTGGCATGACCCAGAGAAAGGATAAAAGTATTCAGTGAAAAGTTATGACCATTTTGTTTCAAAGGGACTCTTTATCTTCTTCTTAGCATTCATTGGTTGTAAACTCTATTGGAAAGTTTTGGTTGTTTGTCCATTTGAATTTGGTCTTGTTCCAGAACTTGCTTTTTGCATTCACAGCCATTTTACAGATCTAGCTCATCTGTATGTAGACTACTGGTTCTTTGCCTCTCTTGCAGAAACACTCTGGCTTCAAAGGAAACATCCCTAATTAGTTGCCTTTTATGACATGCTTGTTAGAGGGCAGTGGGTCTATCCCCCCCCCCCCCCCAAGAAAAAAGTTTTCGGGCCTTGGAACCCACACTGGAAAACATTCTTTTACACACAGGGAAACATTCTTATTAAAAAAAACCATATTGCAGGGAAAAGATGAAGGTAACTGAGCCTGAGGCAGACAGCGATACAAGTGGGAGGATAATATCAAGAGATATATGAATAGCAGTCTTAAAGGGGCAAAAGACAGAGTATGCTGGAGACATACTGCAGCCAATCTTCATTGTGAAATAACCCCTAACAGTCTTCATTGTGAAATAACCCCTAACAGTCTTCATTGTGAAATAACCCCTAACAGTCTTCATTGTGAAATAACCCCTAACAGTCTTCATTGTGAAATAACCCCTAACAGTCTTCATTGTGAAATAACCCCTAACAGTCTTCATTATGAAATAACCCCTAATAGTATTCATTGTAAAATAACCCCTAACAGTCTTCACTGTGAAATAACCCCTAACAGTCTTCACTGTGAAATAACCCCTAACAGTCTTCATTGTGAAATAACCCCTAATAGTATTCATTGTAAAATAACCCCTAATAATATTCATTGTAAAATAACCCTAACAGTCTTCACTGTGAAATAACCCTAACAGTCTCCATTGTGAAATAACCCCTAACAGTCTTCATTGTAAAATAACCCCTAACAGTCTTCATTGTGAAATAACCCCTAACAGTCTTCACTGTGAAATAACCCCTAACAGTCTTCATTGTGAAATAACCCCTAACAGTCTTCATTGTGAAATAACCCCTAACAGTCTTCATTGTGAAATAACCCCTAATAGTATTCATTGTAAAATAACCCCTAACAGTCTTCACTGTGAAATAACCCCTAACAGTCTTCATTGTGAAATAACCCCTAACAGTCTTCATTGTGAAATAACCCCTAATAGTATTCATTGTGAAATAACCCCTAACAGTCTTCATTGTGAAATAACCCCTAATAGTATTCATTGTAAAATAACCCCTAACAGTCTTCACTGTGAAATAACCCTAACAGTCTTCACTGTGAAATAACCCCTAACAGTCTTCATTGTGAAATAACCCCTAACAGTCTTCATTGTGAAATAACCCCTAACAGTCTTCACTGTGAAATAACCCCTAACAGTCTTCATTGTGAAATAACCCCTAATAGTATTCATTGTAAAATAACCCCTAATAATATTCATTGTAAAATAACCCCTAACAGTCTTCATTGTGAAATAACCCCTAATAGTATTCATTGTAAAATAACCCCTAACAGTCTTCATTGTGAAATAACCCCTAACAGTCTTCATTGTGAAATAACCCCTAATAGTATTTATTGTAAAATAACCCCTAACAGTCTTCACTGTGAAATAACCCCTAACAGTCTTCATTGTAAAATAACCCCTAACAGTCTTCATTGTGAAATAACCCCTAACAGTCTTCACTGTGAAATAACCCCTAACAGTCTTCACTGTGAAATAACCCCTAACAGTCTTCACTGTGAAATAACCCCTAACAGTCTTCACTGTGAAATAACCCCTAACAGTCTTCACTGTGAAATAACCCCTAACAGTCTTCATTGTGAAATAACCCATAACAGTCTTCATTGTGAAATAACCCCTAATAGTATTCATTGTGAAATAACCCCTAACAGTCTTCATTGTGAAATAACCCCTAACAGTCTTCATTGTGAAATAACCCCTAATAGTATTCATTGTAAAATAACCCCTAACAGTCTTCATTGTGAAATAACCCCTAACAGTCTTCATTGTGAAATAATCCCTAACAGTCTTCATTGTAAAATAACCCCTAACAGTCTTCACTGTGAAATAACCCCTAACAGTCTTCACTGTGAAATAACCCCTAACAGTCTTCATTGTGAAATAACCCCTAATAGTATTCATTGTAAAATAACCCCTAACAGTCTTCATTGTGAAATAACCCCTAACAGTCTTCATTGTGAAATAACCCCTAACAGTCTTCATTGTGAAATAACCCCTAACAGTATTCATTGTAAAATAACCCCTAACAGTCTTCATTGTGAAATAACCCCTAACAGTCTTCACTGTGAAATAACCCCTAACAGTCTTCATTGTGAAATAACCCCTAACAGTCTTCATTGTAAAATAACCCCTAACAGTCTTCATTGTGAAATAACCCCTAACAGTCTTCATTGTGAAATAACCCCTAACAGTCTTCATTGTAAAATAACCCCTAACAGTCTTCATTGTAAAATAACCCCTAACAGTCGTCACTGTGAAATAACCCCTAACAGTCTTCATTGTGAAATAACCCCTAACAGTCTTCATTGTGAAATAACCCCTAATAGTATTCATTGTAAAATAACCCCTAACAGTCTTCATTGTGAAATAACCCCTAATAGTATTCATTGTGAAATAATCCCTAACAGTCTTCATTGTGAAATAACCCCTAATAGTATTCATTGTGAAATAATCCCTAACGGTCTTCATTGTGAAATAACCCCTAACAGTCTCCACTGTGAAATAACCCCTAACTCACTGACAGAGACCTGTATGTGTATGCAAAGAGTAAAAATTAAAAGGACCCTTTTCCCCACCTTCAGACATACTGGGCTGGACCTATATTTTATAGACCAATCAGCACTTGGTGAGTGATGAGGTCAGCATTACCCCGACCACCTTTACTTCCCAGGACTGCACCTGGTACCCACTCAAGGCAGGGTCCACCTGGGAGCCAAGGTCATTTTTTTTTAAATTAAGAATGCCTGTTTCTGTCAGGACCTGAACTCACAACCTTTCGATCCGCAGGCAAGCGTCTAGTCACTATGCCACAGTGATTTATGTATATGTACAAGATCACTCATGAAAACTTTACCCTAAAAAAATGTCAGGGAAATGACAAGGAAATCAAGACACAAAGATAAATATTCAAAACACCAGAAAAAAAGACAGCCATTTTTGTTTTCAAATACACTATGAAAAAGAATAAAGCTATGAACTGGAATAATTAAATACACTTAGGAAATAAACTATATCTCAATGAAGGAATAAAATAATTAAATAATAAATCAATCGACTGTGAGTTACTGAATTGATGAATGAAGAAAGGGTGAGAAAATTATATGATTCATAAAGGAACAGTTAACAAATGAATTATGAAAGAATAGTGCATGAATGAAGAAACAGTAGATAATTTAGTAATAACATAAAATTAAGTGAAAAAGAGGGAATAAAGAGAAATGAGGGAAGGATATAACAAATAAAGGAGCAAGGAATAACAGAATCTGTGATCGAAAGAATACTGAATAAATGAATGAATTACTGAATAAAGGAAAGTCATTGAATGATTTAAAGAAGAAACAACAAGTGAGAGAATTAGTGAACAAATGCAACATTAATAAAAACCACATTAACAAATATATCATCATCACCACTATTAAAACTAAAGAGGCCATCTGTACTTTCTCCTTCAGTTTCTTTGCTCACCAGATGTAAGCTCCAGCGGAAAGTCCGATTGTTCATCCATCTGGACTTAGGTTTTGTTCCAGGGCCGGAATTTGTTTATGTACATCTGTTTTACCAGCTTATTTGTGTGCAGTTGGTTGTTCCTTGCTGCTCAGGCAGATGCACTGCTACTTCAAAGGAACGCTCCCAATTAGTTGACTCTTACCACATGCTTTGGGGGGAAGGTCTATTCTTTTCCCTCACAATAGGGCCCTGGAACCCACAATGGGGACCCAGAACTCACAGTGGGGCCTCAGAACCCACAATGGGGCCCCAGAACTCACAGTGGGGCATCAGAAGCCACAATGGGGCCCCAGAACTCACAGTGGGGCATCAGAACCCACAATGGAACCTCAGAACCTACAATGGAACCTCAGAACCTACAATGGAACCTCAGAACCTACAATGGAACCCCAGAACCTACAATGGAACCCCAGAACCTACAATGGAACCCCAGAACCCACAATGAACCCCAGAACCTACAATGGAACCCCAGAACCCACAATGGAACCTCAGAACCTACAATGGAACCCCAGAACCCACAATGGAACCCTAGAACCCACAATGGAACCCTAGAACCTACAATGGAACCCCAGAACCTACAATGGAACCCTAGAACCCACAATGGAACCCCAGAACCCACAATGGAACCCCAGAACCCACAATGGAACCTCAGAACCTACAATGGAACCCCAGAACCCACAATGGAACCCCAGAACCTACAATGGAACCCTAGAACCTACAATGGAACCCCAGAACCTACAATGGAACCCTAGAACCCACAATGGAATCCCAGAACCCACAATGGAACCCCAGAACCCACAATGGAACCCCAGAACCCACAATGGAACCCCAGAACCTACAATGGAACCCCAGAACCCACAATGGAACCCCAGAACCCACAATGGAATCCCAGAACCCACAATGGAACCCCAGAACCCACAATGGAATCCCAGAACCCACAATGGAATCCCAGAACCCACAATGGAACCCCAGAACCCAAATGGAACCCCAGAAGCCACAATGGGGCCCCAGAACCCACAATGGAACCCCAGAACTCACAATGGAATCCCAGAACCCACAATGGAACCCCAGAACCCACAATGGAACCCCAGAACCCACAATGGAACCCCAGAACCCACAATGGAACCCCAGAACCCACAATGGAACCCCAGAACCCACAATGGAACCCCAGAACCCACAATGGAATCCCAGAACCCACAATGGAACCCCAGAACCCACAATGGAACCCCAGAAGCCACAATGGGGCCCCAGAACCCACAATGGAACCCCAGAACCCACAATGGAACCCCAGAACCCACAATGGGGCCCCAGAACCCACAATGGAACCCCAGAACCCACAATGGAATCCCAGAACCCACAATGGAACCCCAGAATCCACAATGGAATCCCAGAACCCACAATGGAATCCCAGAACCCACAATGGAACCCCAGAAGCCACAATGGAATCCCAGAACCCATAATGGAACCCCAGAACCCACAATGGAATCCCAGAACCCACAATGGAACCCCAGAATCCACAATGGAATCCCAGAACCCACAATGGAATCCCAGAACCCACAATGGAACCCCAGAAGCCACAATGGAATCCCAGAAGCCACAATGGAACCCCAGAACCCACAATGGAACCCCAGAACCCACAATGGAATCCCAGAACCCACAATGCAGCACTGGAACCCTGTACCTTACAGGGAAGCCTGTACCTTAATTTCAATCTGGTGCCGTTCTTCTGCGTCTTCCATCTCTCGGTCTTTGTTGCGGAGCTCTGCCTTCTTCTCCTCAAACTGTCTTTTTGTGATCTCCCAAAAGGTGTTGATCTTGTCCCGCTCCAGCTGGAAGTAGTTACGTTCCTCTCTTTCCCGCTCAAGTTCTTCACGGAGTCGCTGGACATGCTCCTCCAGCTGAAAATGCAAACAGATAGCACACTGAAGTTCACAATTCAGGAATCAAATCAAATGGTTTGCCCACTTGGAGAGAATACCTTCTGATGCTATACCATTCAAGGCACATACCAAAAGAGAAGATGGACGTATAGCAAGAGGTAGACCAAGAACAAGATGAAAGGATAACATCAGAGAAACTCTACAATACCACGAAGAGTCTTTAGTCGAAGCAGCCAGAAGCAGGATCTTTTATCTCCCTCAACACCTGAAGCGGTAAAAGAGCTCATTAAGAAGAAGATTCAGGAATAAATATGATTTGCAAGTAAAGAAGTTTATGCATACTGTTTAATCTTTTTCTTCTTCTGCGTTCGATATCAGTCATGCTAAACATTGAGTCCCATCTGGGTCACAAATAGGATTGTGCGTTTAAGGTCACCACCGGTCCCCCATAGCTTCTCTTGCAATGTGGCACCCTTGGGCCAGATCCACAGTCTTTACTGGGAGAGGTTAGGGCAGTACTGTAGTATGTGCTCAGGGGTCTGTCTTTCTGCTCCACAATCACAGGCATACTGTTTAAAATAATGCATAGTTATCCAAT